TTGTGAGATAGGCAAGAAGTAAGGCATGTAGCAACATCAGCATGGCAAAGGGCACTTCTTTAAAGTCAAGGAAAGGCAAAAATATTTTAAGTCAAGTGATAGCGATTGCTGTATGAGTCGTACGATTTTTGAATCAAGCACGGGCAACGCCTGGCCTGGCCATGCTATATATATATATATATATATATATATATATATATATATATATATATATATATATATATATATTTCTAGCTACTGTCTGTTTGTTATCGAACTTAGGATTTTGAAGACTCTGTAAACATATATATTCTGTAACTACATTTAACAACAGGGTACTTGGAGAAGTATATTTCATTTTGATGAAAAAGTGCCCTCGAGGTACCCCCCTCACTCGCACACGGACTCAAAAATGTTTCCCTATGATATAAATTAAATTTCAATTTGAACAAGGGAATGACTCCTAGAGTGCTTGCACAAGAATATTTCATTTTGATCAAAGACGGTCCCCGGAGGTACAACCCCCGCCAATGAAAATTCAACCAACGTCCTTATCAAGGACACATGACCCAGCGGATAAAGACGCTGGTTAGATCCAGTGACTAGACCCAAAGCGCTGAGAGTTCGATACCAAGCTACAGCAGTGGTGAACCAAAAAAAAAAAAAAAAAATTGTAGAGTTGATTTAAAGAGAAATAACTGAAAAGAGACATGACACTTGGAACAATCTACTCCGATGGACGAAATAAAGGATTCGGTTCAAAATTACAATCACCTGAAGAAGGCTGGAATATACAACGGCCGAAACGTTGTGAATATGGAAACGAAAATGAGGATAACAGTCCGAATAATGTAAATAATGTCAACACTCGATTTGCACTAGCGTAAAAATAAAAACGTAGATATAGGCTTTATAACATTGTCTGCAAATATAGAGAGTTGGCCCCTGAAATACTGAGGAGCGGGGCACTCATTTTTAGATATTGCAGTCGGCGTATTTTAAACCTCGTTGACTGGACGGCGCAATAATAGGTTCCAGCAATTCGTAATATTAAAATATATATATATATATATATATATATATATATATATATATATATAACAATATATTTTTATAGGAGATTTCGTTTCTGGGGAGATGTTGGAAAGTGTCGTGAACGTATCCGCCATTTTCTACGTTGTGGAATCTAATCAATCCACCAACTATTTTGTTCCAAATTCTTCCTTTTCTACATGGCGTGTTCCTTCAAGACAATTTCCACAATTTCCTCTCCTTCGTAGCTGTTGATAAATTTAGTCTTTTCCTAATTTCTCTTGGATCTTGTTCCGTACAGGTCCTGTTCACTAACCACTAACGCCATATGGATTATCACTAAATACATTCCCTAGGATTATTATAATTTTAAATAATATAAGAGATTAAAGCCTTTAGTAGAATAACCAAGAATTTTCCAACAGTTTGCCGCATATATATATATATTAGTTCTTTTTTCGTAACAGATATAATGTTTAGTATAGAGCTTGGAAAAAAATTCGCAGTGTGAGATAGGCAAGAAGTAAGGCATGTAGCAACATCAGCACGGCAAAGGGCACTCCTTTAAAGGCAAGGAAGGGCAAAAATATGTTAAGTAAAGTGATAGCGATTGCTGTATGAGTTGTACGATTTTTGAATCAAGCAATTTTTGAATATATTTGGTTGGATAGATGTGAGTTTGTGACCCTGGGTTTCACGCTTTAGCGATCGTCAGACAAACTGATTAATGTTTTAAAAAAATTTGGTTTATGTAGATTGTGTGTATTGGCGTTATTGTGGAAGTGGTGGGGGAAATTTCGTCGTTTTGTCATTCATCGTACTAACGCAAACATCGATGTATGCAGACACATATACATACTTGGTCGTCACAAACTCACCTCTATCCAACCAAATATGTTAGCTCTATCTCTGATATTGAGCGCTTTCTAATAAGTACCGCGCATATAATATATAAATAATTATACATATATATATTTGTTTATATTTATATACACTTTTCACATATATATGTATATATATATTTTAAAATTCTTTTTTATGTACCTTGTTGCCTCAAGACATAAGTAATCATGTCTCTCCACAATCTCCTGTTCTTTGTTTTCCTCTGTCCCTCTTGCTTTCAATCTCTCCTTTCCAAGCCCTCTTTTCTCGTTATGTGTTCTAAAAATTTCCACTATTTCATTCTAATGTTTTATAAAAGGTGTTTCATTAAAACGGATTATATATAAGGGTGTTTCATTAAGACGGATCAAAGTCAGCTGTAAATAAATCAGTTTTATTGGTAAAAAAATTATTCATTTCTCTATTGGATCATGTTATTTAAGTCATGGCAATTAAGTGTGAAAAATAATATCGCCCAAATGTCCGCCAAGGCATCGGCGGCATACCTCCACTCGATGGACAAAATTTTTGATGATGTCTCTGCATAGTTGCTCCTTGATCTCACCAATATGCCTTATTATCTCATCCTTCAGCTGTTGAATTGTTGTTGGCTTGTTGGCATAGACCTTACTTTTGAGATGACCCCAAAGGAAGAAATCTAAAGGTGTCATGTCGCATGATCATGGTGGCCAATTGACTTCGTTATTTCGAGAGATGATGCGACCTCATTGCATTTCTGTTTGAACGTCCATTTTCGTAATAGGCTTCGATAACTTTAACACGTTGTTTGATTGTTAATCCTTCCATGGTTGAAATTGTCAAAGACTTAAGTTGTTAAATCGAAAAGAAAAAGAAAATATATCATTAGACGCTTAAACTTAATTCACATTTAAAAGTATGACATTGACAATAACTCTCATTTTCTATATCCAAAACTATTTAAATATTTTGTCAAAATTCAATGTAACGTTGTTGTGGATAGGTTCAATTACTGCGCGCGATGACAAATAGAGATGTCTGGAATTTCGGCCAAATTCTCGTGCACTGCAGCAATGTTTTCAGCTGAACGGCGAAAGCCAGCAAGCAATGGTGTTTTCACATCTGCCACCGACCCAGTTTCTTTGAATTTACGAACAATTTTTTTTTTCCAATTGCACTCTCGGTTAGTCGATTATGTTTACCAAAAAAGTCACGAAGTGAGCGAAATGCATTTCTGTTTGAACGTCTATTTTCGTAATAGGCTTCGATAACTTTAACACATTGTTTGATTGTTAATCTTTCTATGGTTGAAATCGCCAAAGACTTAAGTTATTAAATCGGAAAGAAAAAGGAAAAAAAATCTTAAACTTAATTCACATTTAAAATCGGTTCAAGTTATTGAAGCACCCTTTTTATAAGCTAACTTTCCTTTTCACTAAAGCTTCGTCGCTGCTCACGTCTTCGGCTCACAGCATCCTCAGCATCGTTCTGTTGAACCAATTTTCTGTTGCATATCTTCTTTTTCATCTTTGACGATATAATCAAGAGAAAAAGGCGAGAAAAGCAAGTCTTTAAATTCTGACAAAAGTATCTTTCCAGAAGTTAATAAAAAAAAACGACTTTCTCAACCTCTGCTCGTGCGTGTAAATGGCATATTGCAATTGACTGACTGCAGACGTCACAAAGAGCGTAGTAAATTGAGACACATTTAGAATTTTCATAACATGGCATAAAAGATGACACTAAGGACGAATATATCTCGGACATCTAGAAGGGATTTCGTGCAAAGATTAATTTGTCAACGTTCTTTCTGATAAATTATACCAACATTGTCAAAACTTGGTTTTTTTATGGACACGACTTTATATTAGCTTTATAGGGAAGTGATAAAAAAGCGGGAAAAAATTGCCAATTTTAGAAACGCTATCTTTTTCAAAATTTTATCAAACTGTGATTCTTGTATTACACCTTTTTTTTTTACCTAAGCATTCGTGTACATTTACTGATCCAATTTTTCTGGTTTTCATTCATTCATTTATTCTTTCTTTCTTTCTTTCTTCTTTTTATATTTGCTTTTTATGCTTTCAGTCTTTCTTTCTCATTTTTGGTGTTCTTTCTTTCTTTCTTTCTTTCTTTCTTTCTTTGATCATTTACTTCTTACGCTTTCATTCTTTCTTTTTCCTTTTTTACTTGTTCATTCATTCCCTGTTTCTTTTTCCTTTCCTTCTTTCTTTCTTTCTATGCTTTTTTCTTTTTTCTTTCCTTTTCTGTGGTTTCTTCTTTCTTTCTTTGCTCATTTGCTTATTACTTTCTTTCTTTCTTTCTCCTTTTTACTTTTCTTTCTTTCTTTTTTTTTTTCTTTGCTTTCTTTGCTCATTTGCTTCTGACTTTCATTCTTTCTTTCTCCTTTTTTTTACTTGTTCTTTCTTTCTTTTCTTTTTTTTTCTTTCTTTGAGTCCGACAAAAGTTTTCCTTAGCCCTCCTTTTACTCATTTTTTCTTTCTTTTCTTTCTTTCTTTTTTCATTCTTTCTTTCTTTCTTTCCCGCTCATTTTTTTATGCTTTCATTCTTTCTTTTCTTTTTTGTCTTTTTCTTTCTTTCTTTCTTTGAGTCCGACAAAAGTTCTTCTTAGCCCCCCCTTACACAATATTTTCTTTCTTTCTTTCTTTCTTTCTTTCTTTCTTTCTTTCTTTCTTTCTTTCTTTCTCCGCTCATTAGCTTTTATGCTTTCATTCTTTCTTTCTCCTTTTGTGCCTATACTTTCTTTCTTTCTTTCTTTCTTTCTTTCTTTGAGTCCGACAAAAGTTTTTCCTTAGCCCTCCTTTACGCAATATTTTCTTTCTTTCTTTCTTTCTTTCTTTCTTTTCTTTCTTTCTTTCTTTCTTTCTCCGCTCATTAGCTTTTATGCTTTCATTCTTTCTTTCTCCTTTTGTGCCTATTCTTTCTTTCTTTCTTTCTTCTTGTCGTCTTTCTTCGCCATTTCTTTTATATTTCACAAACCTATTCAAGAAAGAATATTCATTTCCATTCTAAAAAAAAAAAAATTACCTTCAGCTCACATACACCAAAATGGCGGCTTTATAGAGAAGCGACCAACAAGTGCCCTTTGTCAAATGTTCAGTTGTGTTATGGCGTTTTGATAAATCTGAAAAAATTCCTCATACATATATACAATATTTTTTTGTATTATCACTTATTTTTGTTTCCATCAGAAATGAAACATCAGCGTGGATCCGAAAATGGAGATTTTAACAGCTTGACAGTGTTTCTCTATTTTCACTCGTCTCCGCTCCATCACGTGTAGATTGCCTCAGGCTTTGTATTTCATATTCACACGCCCTTTTCTCGCTTTATCCGTGACTAGCCGCATGGCCCGGCGTTGTCCGTGCTTGATTCAAAAATCGTACAGCAATCGCTATCACTTGACTTAAAATATTTTTGCCCTTCCTTGCCTTTAAAGGAGTGCCCTTTGCCGTGCTGATGTTGCTACGTGCCTGCCTTACTTCTTTTTTTCTAAGCCTATACTAAACATTATCTCAAAAAAGAACTAAACAAAATGAACACAAAACGATTTTTTAAAAGGACTTGAACTGTTACAGTTTTTTGTGTATATACGTTAAACTATTAAAAATCTGTTTTATAGTGTAAAAGGTTGACCAATCAGAAGCCGCTGAAATTGTATCAAAAAAGAACCCAAAACAATCCAGTGCTTTAAAAAGAAGGACTCTACGCTCTGGAAAACACCGAATGAACTAACTGAAATATTCATTGTCTGGATTCTATACTCAAAGAACCGTCATGAATTTGTAACAGTAACTGGAAAAACTTTTTGAAAAAGAATGTTAACACAAATACAACCCAACCCAGTTCTGCGGAATCAGAATCAACGTTGAGTTTAAGCAAGCGAATGAGCCAATTGGAGTAAAGTGCCATGCAGATTTAAATTTTTCCCACTTGTTACGAATGCAGCTATCGATTTTTTTTGCATGCTAGCATGCTAGTTAACATTCGTGTCAGTCAGCTGTAGGCTCTCACGCTGGCTAATAGAATCTTCGTGCCTATTCGTGGCAGCCAGCTATAGGCTCTCACTCTGGCTAGTATAAAATGACCGCAAACTACATGAAAACTGCCGTAGAAGCATGAAAAAATCGATTATTTACGCTATTGGTGGGAGTTGGGAAATGCAAAATAAGTCTTGGCCTTCCCACTAACTTGGAGCATGTGCATGTAAATTTTGGTGCAAATCCGTCGAAAATTGCGGCCGTGCATTCGTTATTGTGAGGGGGATTTCCATAGACAATTAGGGTCTTCCCAGATTAATTTCTTCTCGAACAAAGCTACCTTATAAATCCTAGCAAATAAAAAACACGATCTTGAATTAGGTTACTGAATTAAACGACCCAAACGACGATTTTTCTACTAATTCACATAGAATCTGTTCATGATTATTTCACTGAGTTTATTCATTTATTTATTTTTATAAACACACACATACAGCAACGCCTGCAAAAGGCGTCCTTTGATATCGACAGGCGTAAGTGCATTTACGCTTACCCGCCTTTCCCAGCCTCTCCAGATGAGGCGTCACGTGGTTTAACTCGGAACGGAGTGCAGTGTGCGTCACGTGACGAAAGTCGAAATTGAAACAGCGTTCCCATATCACTTCCGTTATCATTTCAAGCGCGTTTGTGCCTGCAAGGATTGAACCAAAACGAAAATGCAATTAATGCAGGTAATTACGCAACGTAATTGTCATTAAAGCGGGAATTGTTGTTGTCGAAATGAATACCGCAACAGGATGACGCATGCGCCTGGCAGAGAAGGCGGGAAATTTTGTAAGAATAATGGAAAACTATATTGAAAGCGGGAAAGCGATTTTTGTGGGGGATCTTTTGCTACAGGGACAAGTCGTATCACATTAAGCACCTACCTATCTATCTATCTATCTATCTATCTATCTATCTATCTAAGTCATTTTAATATCTCTCTCTCTCTCTCTCTCTCTCTCTATCTATCTATCTATCTATCTATTATTTTAGTTTGTTTTAATATCTATCTATCTATTTTTATCTACATAATTTTATTTTTAATATATATCTCTCTTTATTTTCTTAATTCCTAAACTATCTATCTAATTTTATTTTTAAATATATATGTCTTTTTAGTTTCTTAATATCTATCTATTTTATCTAATTTTATTTTTTAATATATATATCTTTTTAGTTTCTCTAATACCTAATCTATCTATCTATCTATCTATCTATCTATCTATCTATCTATCTATCTATATATATATATATATATATATATATAGATAGATAGATAGATAGATAAATAGATATTTATTTTTAATTTTTTAAATATTATCTATCTATCTATCTATCTATCTATCTATCTATCTATCTATCTATTTTTATCTAATTTTATTTTTTAATATATATCTCTTTTCACTTTCTTAATACCTAATCTATCTATCTATCTATCTATCTATCTATCTATCTATCTATCTATTCATCGTGGGCTATCATCTATTCCATATCTCTATCCATCCTTTCTATCTATTATCTAACGTTTTATCTTTTTTGCTTTTTAATATTCCTTCAACTACCTTTTCTGCCAACCATTTATCATCTATCTATCTATCTATCTATCTATCTATCTTCTTATGCCAATTCATTCCATCTATCTATCTATCTATCTATCTATTTTTTATCTAATTTTATTTTTTAATATATATCTCTTTTCACTTTCTTAATCATCATCTATCTATTCATATCTATCTATCTAATTCTATCTATCTATCTATCTCTCATTTTCATGCATTTCTATCTATCTATTATCTAAATATCTATCCACATCTATCTATCTATCCATCTATCGTGGGCCACATATACCCACCCAAAATCCATCCTTTATAGCTCTTAGAAACGTTTTACCTTTTTTTTTTACTATTCAAAATACATGTTCTGTAACCATTTACCCCCTCAGTTATATATGCCACATATTGTTTTCTTATGCCCTTCTTTCCAGCAATATCTCCCAGAAATCAAATTTTCCATATACCCCCTCAAATAAAAGAAGTGATAATTAAGTCATCATGTTTCCCGAAATACCTCTAGAAAAATTGTTAAGATTTAGCAGATTTTATGCATTTTACTAATTGCGGCATAAATACCCCCCACATATACCCCCACCCAGAAATACATGCCACATATACCCCCACCCAGAAATACATGCCACATATACCTCTTAGAAATACCTCCCACATATACCCCCAGAAATACATGCCACATATACCCCCTCAGAAATATATGCCACATATACCTCCCAGAAATACCTCCCACATATACCCCCAGAAATATATGCCACATATACCCCCTCAGAAATATATGCCACATATACCTCTTAGAAATACCTCCCACATATAGCTCCCAGAAATACATGCTGCATATACATTCCAGAAATACCTCCCACATATACCTCCCAGAAATACCTCCCACATATAACCACCCAGAAATACCTCCCACATATACCTCTTAGAAATACCTCCCACATATACCCCCAGAAATACATGCCACATATACCTCCCAGAAATACCTCCCACATATACTCCCAGAAATATATGCCACATATACCCCCTCAGAAATATATGCCACATATACCGCTTAGAAATACCTCCCACATATATCACCCAGAAATACATGGTACATATATCTCCCACATATACCTCCCCGAAATACATCCTATATATACCTCCCAGAAATACATGCCATATATAGCTCTCAGAAATACCTCCCACATATACCTCCCAGAAATACCTCCCACATATACCCCCCCCGAAATACATGCCACATATAACTCCTAGAAATACCTCCCACATATATCCAGAAATGCCACATAATGGCAAAATATTAGTGGAAAACGTATTTCTGCCGCAACGCTGTATTTTGTTGGATTTTGTTGTTGGCTATTTCCAAGATGTAATGTATGCAGTATTTATTCTCGGACATTTGTCCCGCTCTTTGTTGTTGCTATCACGACTTTTCGGCCGTTGTATATTTTGGCCTTCATCAGGCGTACATCAATCCGGGTAAGAAATACAGAAAGAAAGACAAGGTTACAGCAAGTCTTCAATAGAAGCAGCAGTTGTATCAAACACCTTCAGTGATTGCAGATGCACTTATTGGTAGACAACTTAGGTGCAAGGCTTCTGGTCTCCACAGAACTCCTGTCGAACAATTGTGGATAAAAGCGGGAATTTAACGAGATAGTAATGTGGAGTTCAATCCCCGGCCTGGGCAGTGTGTACTTGTGGAAACAAGGCGAGCAATAACTGAGCAGTACTAAAAAGAAGACATGATATCCCGAGACATGGGCATTGGATCGAGAATAGTCTTCCGTGTACTGTCGGTCCTACCACATTAAAAGCAAAAAAAAACCGGAAGAAGAAACTTCACCTTCCAGGACCAGCAACTATTGTTAAATTGATTCAGCATATTTAAAAGGCCACAAATATTGACCAAAAAAAAAAAAAGGGTGTGACCAAGATGCACAGGATTAAAGTGTAGTATCTGTTCCAGCAGCGGGCGGTTGGGCGGCCGGGTCACGGCAAAAGACATCAGTAGTTCCTGCCAGCTCCAGCTTCAGCCACCCATCTTGGCCATCATCAACGATATAAGATAAACTGCCCTTTTCAGGATCACACTTTTAAACGACTTGATAACTGTCCTTTTCAGGACGTCAATTGTCAAACGCTACAAAAGTGTCCCTTTTCAGGAAAACACTTTTAAACGACTACCTAACTGTCCTTTTCGGGGCGTTAATTGTCAACAACTACAAAAGTGTACCGTTTCAGGAAAACATTTTTAAACAGCTTGTCCTTCTCAAGACAACGCCCTTCTCACGAAAATGCAGATATATATTTTTTATCTAGTGCACTGTAACCCTATTTTTGTCGATGTATTTTCTTTAACGAAAAAAACTTGACAATATATTGTTTTTTTTTTTGTTTACTCCAGTCCTTGTTTTGTTTGTTGCTGTCTTCCGCCAATATTTCCTCGCCAATATACCACCCACAAGTCTACCTACGGCTTGATATACACGTGATCAAGGTTAGAGGATGTGATAACAACAACAAAGACGAGGAAAATAGTCTGAATATAAAGTGTAAATAACGATAACTCCTCATCCCAGAAATTCAGACCGAATTATATAATGAAGTATATGATTTATTAACAATAGATGATTACGGATGCTGCATTCTTTTTAAATATAGACTCCGAATGAAGACTGAAATTTTAGAGAGAATCGCGAAAGAAAAGCAGCCAGTAATTAAATGAACACCGGCGCTTGTGGCTTCTTGTCAAACATACCAAAAGATTAGTGTTTATTGGCAGTGCAAGAGTTACTAATCATGGCTTCCAGATATGGGCCTGTGTGCCGTATTGGGTGGCCGCAATTGTATTAGCTAATAATAAATAATAATAATAAAAAAACACACTAACAGGTGCCCGTTTATAGCGCTTCGCAACAAGCCGTGACGTTTCGATCATGTGCTAGTCTTTGACAGTTATCGAAGTTAATCAAATCGCCCTTCTTACGCATGACTATGGCCTCCACACGTCAGAATGAAATACTGTTTAAATATCTCGGCCTATAATATGCAGAGTACCAGTTAACGGGCGGTTTCCAGATTCTAGGAATAAAAGGCGGTATCTATCTATCTATCTATCTATCTATCTATCTATCTATCTATCTATCTATCTATCTCATTCTGCTTCCAACTATGTATATATGTATGTATGTATCTATCGATCTACCTCGTTCTGCATTTATTTCTCTCTTTCTCTGTCTATCAAATTCTCGTCAATACCTACGTATCTATCTATCTATCTATCTATCTATCTATCTATCTATCTATCTATCTATCTATCTATCTATCTATCTATTCTCAAATCGAAAAATGTTCTACCCCCAAATCAATAATATGTTTCGTTTTTTTTTCGAATACAAGTTCGCTACATCGCTAACCAATGCCCGTGAGACGATCACCTGATGATTTCTCTCTCTCTCTCTCTCTCTCTCTCTCTATATATATATATATATATATATATATATATGTATATATAGATGTGTGTGTTTGTGCGTGTGTGTGTGTCGAATAGGAATTGAGTTTCGAGCAAGAAGAGATGTTTATTCATTGTTTAGGATTGGGTTTCTAGTTTCTTCAAAAGTTTTCTGATTCTTTTTCACTTTCAGTGACTCCTCGCACCTTAGTGGTGTTTTCGCCTTACTTAGGGAATTGATTAATATATATATATATATATATATATATATATATATATATATATATATATATATATATAAATTTGTTTGTGACTGTTAGAGATAATTCCAAGGAGGATATTAATCCAGGGAAAGCTTAATATGAATTACAGCACATAATAATAATAATAATAATAATAATAATAATAATAATAACCAAGAAGAAAACTTTTTTAAAACTTTTTTTTTAAATTGAAAGATTTCGGTCTGAAGAGGTGAAGTTTTTTTATTTATTATGATCACTCCTCCTCCCCCAATACTAAGTATGCTTGACAGAGATATGAAATTAATCCCTCCCTATACTCTACCATGTCTCTTTAACTACTCCTTTTACACTCTCTGTTAAATTACAAACACTTACACTACCCATCAATTTTCATTTCATTTTTCGTTTCATTTCATTTTAAAAGGGTTCTGGTGAAATAAATTATTATAATGGAACCTTAAAATGGTCTGTATTTCTTTTATATATATATATATATATATATATATATATATATATATATATATATATATATATATATATTCGGTCAGTATTATTATGCATCTGTTTTTATGTAATATATTGGAGAAAACATACAGAAATTTAAAAAAAAAAAAAAAACGCATCTATGAGCACAAAAAAGAGACCTCAGAAAAAACAACTAATGCTCTAGTCATACATAGAAATAAATTCAACCACAATTTTGATTTTAAAAATGCTACACTCATAAAAAAGAAAATAACTCATTCAAAATCCTTGAGACCGCCGCCATTGAATATTATCCAAATATATATATATATATATATATATATATATATATATATATATATATATATATATATATATCGTTTAAGTCGTTTGAAGTCGCGTGTTCGTGAAACTCAAGTCACGACTAGAGCTGTCCTTTAATAGAATTTAACGTTGTTAAGCGTTTTTTGCTTCGAGCACTTTAATGAGTAGATAAGTTTGCTTTCTAGCATTTTTTCTCTGTCTATTTTCAGGCTTTTGCTCTGACACTTTGTTTTCTCAGGAAGAACAGGGGATGCGTTTATACATATTAGATAGATAGATAGATAGATAGATAGATAGATAGATAGATAGATAAGATTCCGATAGGACGATATGGCGTTTCCTGTTCAAAGGCAAAGGGTTACAGAGAGTTGGAGCGAGAGCAAAGAGGAGTGATAGAGGAAAGGATGAAGAGAAGCATAGGGGACAGATCAAGACATCTGGAGACGTCGATTGACATTACATTTGAATAGTTGGAGATTATAGCTATCAGGGAAACAAGAAATGAGGAAGGTGTTCCACAGGCGAGAGGTGCGAGACATGAAGCTATTGGAGTAGAAGAGACGGCTACATTTATCGGTTTTGACATTAAAAGGGTGAGAGCGAGATGCCAGCCTAGTTGAACGCTTGAATTCATGAAGCCTGGGAACCAGCGAAAGCAGCTCATCGGAGCAGTTACCATTAAAGTATTTGTAAAAAAGACAGAGGGAGGCGACGGCACCTCTGTGAGAGAGCGTCTGCAGACGAGATGCCAGATCAGGGGCAATAACATTGCATATCCGTCTCTGGATTTTATCAAGGACCTTGAGACAAACAGAGGGGGCTCCAGGCCATACATGGCAGCAATACTCCATGCAAAGGCAAATGGTTGATTTTTAAATTTGAAGGATCAACTCCGGCGAGAGAAATTCCCTGGCGCGGCACAAGGAGCCAAGTTTGTTATCATTGGAAAACCAATATTTCTTTCATTAAAATTTATTGCGAGCTGAACACAATTGATTTGGAATGTGAGAGAAGGAAGTGGCAAATAACAAGGGATTCCGTCCATGATTAAGAGACTTCAGGCCAATCAGAGTCGGATATTGATTGGGTCGGCCAACGCGAGGATGATTTTTCAACGCAGGTGGGTAGAACGTTGCTAAACCCATTTTTCAGCACAATTTTCATTTAATTTTTTTTTCGCTTATTTAAGTGTTGTGGAGTATTTTTACAGTGGAGGCTTGTATTTCAATAAGTCGTTCCAAATTAGGTTCGACGTACAAAACGTTAGGAACTTGGAAAATAAGAGTTAATGACGCAGCAAATCTAGTTGTGATGGTTGGTACTTAAATGTCCGATATCGTCTGACTTGCTCAACACCACTGAGCCGAACTGGCGACCGCTACTGCTACTTATTGTCTATGGGAGAGTCCACTACCAAGAAATTCTTTTGCGTGTATTTTTGTTTTTGAGTGAATAGAACGTTGCTAAACCCATTTTTCAGCACAATTTTCATTTTTTTTTTCGTTTATTTAAGCTTGTTATTATTGGAAAACCAAATTTTCTTTCATTAAAATTTATTGCGAGGTGAATACAATTGATTTGGAATGTGAGAGAAGAAATGATAAACAACACGATTAGCCTGATAGTGAATCCCGGATTCTGTCCATGATTGAGAGACTTCAGGCGAGTCAGAGTCAGAGGTTGATTCGGTCAGCCAACGCGAGGATGATTTTTCGTTCTGGGATCAGCGCGACACGTTTCTTTGTCAAAGCTCGATAAAAAGATTTAAGATGACTTATGGGCACACTAATTCCGGTCTTGGCTTTTCCCGCACTTATTTTAGCAGTGCTCAAGATGGCGAAGACAGATATCAAAGATCAAATAAGCCCCCTTCGATAATTTTGGGGGACGGGAGATTATATTCGTGAAGGAAGCAACAAATTTTGCCTTTCAAACTAGTGTTACAAATTTGATAGTCCCATCACGCATGAAGTTACGAGTGTTTCTCTTGTTTTTGTTTCCATCAAGTAATCACGTGGGAGATTAGGTTGGCGGGGGGGGGTTGCGTGTCAGCTGCTGTTTGTTATTCTGCGCATGATCTTTCGTCATTAAGATGCACGAATAAAAAAAAATGGCTGCATTGCATGACATGAATAAGAAAAGAATTTCAAAGTAAAAGAAAAAAAAAAGAAGAAAATGGAACACCTTCAAAGGATTCAAATAATTTAATACTTATCACAAGGATATTTATTTAACAAATGCTTACAGATATTCTTTCAGTATTTTCTTTTTCTTTTTTTTTTTCTGACAAGTCGAAAAAGGTTCCATCCGCAAATTTATAATTTGTTTCGTTTTTTTCCTCTAATAAAAATTCGGGTGAAGACGTGTGAAGACCACATTATGCCTCTTACACAAGACAATATTTAAATATGCAACGAATATAGTTCGACCCTTACACAAACACACACGCGCGCGCGCACACACACACACACACATACACACACATATACAGGGTGTCCATAAAATTCGGGTGCACTTTAAAAAATTATAACTTTATTTGTATTTGCGATAGAAAAATTCTGTAAAAAAATGTTATAAAGTTTAATGTACCTCGTATTAAGTATAGCTAAAATAACTAATGTGATTTCAGGCAATACTGTCAATCAGTTGGCAAATGTTTTCCGTGAACTGCAAAATTGTTTTACCCTTTGTATTGCTAATGATGGAGGACATGATGGAAACTTAAATAAATTTTCAATAAAACCTTAAAAAAATATAGATTTACTTCTTTCGAATTCTTTTTACAAATCATTTCCATCGCAAATACAAATGAAGTTATAAACTTTTAAAAGTGAACACGAACTTTATGGACACCCTGTGTGTGTATATATATATATATATATATATATATATATATATATATATATATTGATGAGGCGTTCCCAAATATCGCCACCTTTAGACGTAGCACCGGTTAACCCAAGACTTTTGAGTCATTTCGGGTAGAATGAACATTTCGAAGGCAGTCAATGATTGTGTTAGCAGCAAGACACAAGTCATCGTGATCGAGTGTTTGAGCGTACTGGCTTTTGCTTAAAATGATTACATCAGCACGGTCTATCCAGAAACTGTAAGTAAGGTCGTATTGTTTAATGTGTGTATATATATATATATATATATATATATATATATATATATATATATATATATATATATAAAATAAACTACCCACAATGCACCACTGGACCCGTATAGCCGAGAAAAATAACAGCGCTCGTGGCCTGTCGGTTGCATCTAGCATGAAACAGACTGTCGCCTCTAAGTGTTGATTTCTATGTTCACTTTTATATTTATACACGCTCTATCACTGATATTGAGCACTTTATCCCATGAATATAGCACATCTTAACACTATATTTCTTCATATATATATATATATATATATATATATATATATATATATATATATATATATATATATAAAATAAAAAAAACAGTAAGATATATAATCCGGTGTTCTTATAGATATTTTATTTTTACAAAATAGTGCATTACAGAGCATTAATATTGTAAATTAATTGATTTAAAATATGTTTTTTTTCCCGCGGAAAAAACATATTTTAAATCAATTAATTAATATATATATATATATATATATATATATATATATATATATAATATTAGTCAATATATATATATATATATATATATATATATATATATATATATATATATATATATATATATATATATATGTTTGGGGTCTTATATTACACTGTGCATCAATTCTCAGTATTTGTCTCGTCAAAAAATTGCTGGTGCTCCCAGGTCAGGGTTGTTCTGATAGCACCGGCAATTAAGAGGTGGTTCCACGCTCCTCAAAGCCAACTGGTCAGAGGCCTTGCTGTTGGACGTAGTTTATCGTCTCACCCAGGACTCGGGCGTAGTTTATCGTCTTACCCAGGATATGTACTCTA